CTATGTTTCGGTTGCCACTCCGACAGTATGGTGCTGCTTCCCAAATATCAAGTAAAACTTATACAGATACAGATGTCCGCAATATGATGGATAGATTTAAAGATGAAGCATGTAAATGTCTTTTATTTCTCACCAATGTAGAAGTTATAACACTCTCAGAAATACTGAAGACTGGTGAAATAAAACAATTGTACAAGGCTGAAGCAAAGTTATTTGGTGACAGCAAACTCAGAAGAGAAGACATTGCTACACATATGTTGAATCATAAGAAAATGAATGTCACAGATATTCCACTAAAGCTGGTGGACTACAATTTACAGATATGTGACTCCAGGAATAAAAATGAAGAGTGGCTTGTAGTGCAACAATTCGGATTCCATAACAGTCCTGATATTGATTTGGCAGGTGAAGAAGAGCTTGGTAAACTACTTCCACGTGTTGGGGTAGCTGCCTTGGTGGAAGACTGCAAGGCGGCTCAAAAATATAACTCATTCTCTCCTTCCTTTGTAAAATCTGAGCTGAAAAGGTCCTTCAATGCATATTGCTTTCTACCACTACCAATAACAACTGATTTACCTGTGCATGTCAATGGTCACTTTGCTCTTGACAGATCTCGTCGGTACATATGGAGTGATATTGGAACACACCAGACTGTCAGAAGCATTTGGAATAAGCTATTAATTGAACACGCGCTTGCCCCTGCTTATGCTAATTTGATAATGCTTGCAGGCCAAAGGTATGTTACTGCGACTGTACAAGACAAGTTAGAATGGTATCACAACCTGTTCCCATCATATTCATCAGAAAATAAAACTGCGGCTGGTGTATCCTGGGCTAGTAAGGGAATATGGAGGCATCTCTCTGCCAAGACGTTACAAGTAATGTCCACTGATGCAATGCATGTGTTACCTTTAGTGAGACAAAGAGGCAGTCATATGGAACTGACTTGGCATGAACCACTAAATGAAGATGATCAAGTATATTTTAACTGCTTTGAAAAACATGAAGATTTAGAAACATTTCTTTTGAATGCTGGTATGAAGCTTATCACCTCAACAATAAAGATATATAACTCATTCCACTATGCTGATGTTGCTGTCAAGAAAGTTAATCCAGTGGATGTTGTGACATTCATGCGCTCTGATAAATGTCATATTGGCAGTCTGCCTTGCAGCATAGTAGATACAACCTACTGTAATGCAAATATCTTCAAGAAAGTATTACACTACATCCTAGATGGGCTTGAACATCCAAACAGTCTTGATGGTTTACCGTTGCTCCTCCGGGGAGATCATTATATTGATGAGTTTCATCCACATAACGCACATTTTCTCACTTGGTATGCAGATCTTCTTCCTGGCCTAAAGGACAAATTTATTTCAAACGAAGTTACCAAAATATTGGTAGAATTTGAAAGAAAGAAGAGTGGGGATTCTGTAACAACTGTTTGGGCAGATTTTACTCCTCAAGATCTTTGTCGTTATATTGACACTGTGCTTCCAGTTAAATGGTTTGATGTTAGACAACATGTAAATCTAGATTCTGAGTCTGAAACTATTATGGCATGGATGGCATTACTCTGGCGCTACCTTTGTTCAAGAGAGGACAAAGATGTCATTGAGCCAATTCAACAGTGGCCTATTATCCCGACCTCAAAAGGGATGTTTGTATCACCATCCCAAGGGAAGACAGTCCTTAGTCTGAGCAAGTATGAGGAAAGTCTGAGTTTGCAAAGCAAGGTGATTGATTTCCTGAGGAAGGTCGGCTGTCCTGAGGTGAAATTTGACCTATTGGATAAAGACAAGGCCACATGTATGAATACCTTACTAAAGCCATATGTTGCATCTCCAAGCAAATGCCAGAGCGTTCTGATATTATTTGAATATATGTTGAGTATAGACGAAATCAAATTTCATAATGTATCTAAAGATGAAGCTTTTTTTATGTTGCAATATTTTCAAGAAGATGTACAAAGCTATGATCATAATTCCCTAACTACATTGAAGAAGTTGCCTTTTTATGAGAAGACCGATGGACATCTTTCCAGCATAGATGCATATCAAAAGTATCACCTTCTGTCAGATGAATTTCCAGAAGCAGAGCAAGATGAATG